TATCTTGACTTCAGAATTTGGGTCTAAGGATATGCTGCTTTGGAGAAGAGGTACTTTTTGTTTTTGCAGAAGATGAGAACTTGTGGATTGCTTCCAGACCAATATGGTTTGATGGAACAAGACACCCCGCCCCGAAAGTTTGCTGTGAGTACCCCCACAATGAAAATACTTTACCCAATAAACAGTAGGAAAAAGTTTGGAGAAACTATGCCCATATTCCCAAATATTGTTTGTAAATGTTTGTTTACATTTAAAGGGAAATATGCTATAGAGATTTGCATTGGTATGGATTTCGGTTTCTTGATACAATTTAAGATCAATTTTGTTATACTGTGTTTGTATATATATATATATATATATATATATACACACACACACACACACAAATATATCTGCTCTTGATTAAAGTATTGATTGTGCAGTTCATTGAAAAATGTAATGTATAATTAAGAAATATAGGTTAATATATAATCCTCTATAATAGTCAAGCTTGTAGTCATGGAAGATTTTCTAGATGTACAAAGATGTATTTCGGATGGATAGGTATTCTTCAAATCTTTCAGAAACCTTCAGAATATGGCATTTAAAGTGTTTTAAAAACTTAGGGCTCTTATCATGGCAGTGAGACACATCTTCATCAATTATTTTAAGAGGAAGATGGGCATTGAAGAAGCACCTCATGTAGTTGGTTAGCCATTTGGGAAAGAAACTGCTCTTGTCTGAACTGAGAAATGACTGCTGGGCTTGCCTAAAGGTGAGACCATCCTTTACTGTTTTTGCTTCATAAAAAAGTCTGCCAGACATTCTGCAGGACACAGAAGAAACTGACTGGCAAACTGCCAATATAGGCGGAACTGTCTTTGAAATTTCCATCTTCATGGAAAAGTCTATGGGCCTGTAGGCTGAAGATGGATGCCCCAATGGTACAAAAGAACTTTGGGTGACTGTTGATGCAGTGAGATGTCTCTGTCAATTCTAGAGTTTTGGAAGTTGCTTACAATGTACTTCCTATTTACTTTGGTAATATTATATCCTTCTGGAGTCTTTGATGGAGTTAAGAATTTATAGTTATAGCTTTCTTTAGTTATAATAAAAGATAAAGTAGATATAAATATTGTAACTGTAATTCTTGTTTGATATGTTTTGTTATATGTAATTTTATTATGTTAAAGTTAAAGCCTTCCTTTTTGTTTAAACAGAAAAGGGGAAATGGTCCTTCTGTCTATGTGTTGCTTTTATTGGTTAATGAATAAAGAACTTTGGTTTGGCCTATAGCATGGGAATAAGAAGGCGGAGTCAGAGAGAAGCCATGGATCTGCTGCCTGAGACAGATGCTGGGAACTTTAGCTGGTAAGCCACAACCATGTGGCAATATACAGAATAACAGAAATGGGTTAGTTTAGGATGAGTTTAGCCAGAAATATGCTTAAGCTATTGGCCAAACAGTACTGCAAATAATATGGTTTTCTGAGTGGTTATTTCATGGCTGGGTGGCCAGGACAAACAAGTGGCACCCTTCCCCAACACACTGGTAATTCTCATTAGCTGCTGGCAGAATCCTTTCAACTGTGTACGAGGCACAAAGTGTTGTCAAAGACAAAGGTCAGGATATGAAGGGCTTACAGTAAGATTATTCAAAAATAAACAAATGGTCGCATTCAATGTTGGCAGTGTATGAGAATTGTACACTAGTAACCTAGCCAACAATGATGACAAGATTTCTGTACCCATCATTCTTAAGACATAAAATTAAAATATACTGGGCTCTAATATAATATCTTGAAATGAAATTCAAAATTCAAAAACAGATGATTGAATAATGGATAGCAACATATGATTACAATGACATTTTAAAAAACTATGCTCCTTTAGAATAGCAGAAAGCTGAGCCTATTCTAGAACTGTAAAAAGACTGATATTTTCTCAATTAATAGCAAAACGATTCACAACATAATAAAATGACAAAGTAGAAAACACAGGATTCTGTGGCAGCCAGGAAGAGTAAGAGCCTATGAATGAGTTCTGGCAACCTGGTAAAAGAGTAACGGGTTGATTTATTGTACTCTCAAAAACTGCTAACAAAGTGCATCTTCGGTACTCTCAATGTAGAAATGTGAATAAATATTATTGGGTTTGATTTGGTCATTTCACAGCATATACATATATCAAAACACATTGTATACCTTAATATTAAGTGCTGCTTCTCTATTTTACCTTGATAAAGTTAAAAAAAGAAATTCAGAAGAAAAATATACCAAAAGAGCCTTGAAATGTGCAGCTGATTTCTCATTGGAAACAATGAAAAGTATGAGGCAATACCTTGAGGATGTAACAAAATGTTCAAGTCACAGTCTTTGTACTGTGTGGTGGCTTGAGTGAGAATGGACCCATTGGTTCATAGATTTGAATGTTTGGTTCCCAGTTGGTACAACTGTTTAGAGAAGAATTAGGTGTCGCCTTTTGGAGATGTGTCACTGGGAGTGGGCTGTGAGGTTTCAAAAGCCCAAGCCAATGGACCCAGTCTCTCCTCTCTGCCTATTGCATATTGACCAAAGTACGTGCTCAGCTGCAGCTCCAGCGCCATTCCTGATTGCCTGCTCCAGTGCTCCCTGCACGGATGGTCATGAACTCACCGTCTGAAACCATAAGGAAGCCCTAGGCTAAATGCTTTTCTTTCTAAGTTACTTTGGTCACAGTGCCTCTTCACAGCAATAGAAAAGTAATAAGACCAACTTTAAAGGAAATTATGAGATATTTCTATATAATGAAGTTATTCTAGGAAAGGAACAAAATGTAAAATCAAGATAAAGGAAATGGTAAATTTATATGTAGATATGAGTATAGCACTGAATAACTAAAATTCTAATATGTGAAAACACAAACAGGCTTGAAGTAATATGATCAACAATAGTATTTTATTAATTGAAGGTGAGATGATATATCAATAGTAATGCCTCCCAGGGTTCTTTCTGTGTTTAAGAAAAAAATCAATATTCCTTACACATAACCTCAGGCTAGTGACAGCTAATCTTACAGAGAAGAGCTTCTAAGCAAGAAAAAGGACACGAGGAATAAATAAAACAATACATTAAAACTAAGGCACAAGGAAAATTAAAGTAATAGAAATTACAGTAAAAATGGCAGATGTGGCTGGGTGGTGGTGTCGCACGCCTTTAATCCCAGCACTTGGGAGGCAGAGGCAGGCGGATCTCTGTGAGTTCGAGGCCAGCCTGGTCTACAGAGTGATTCCAGGATAGGCACCAAAGCTACAGAGAAACCTTGTCTCGTTAAAAAAAAAACCAAAACAAACAAATAAAAATGGCAAATGTGAATAGTGTGCTATGTTTTATCCTTTTGGTTTTTTGGGGGGGTCCCACCATGCAGCTCCCAAATAAACACACACAGAGGCTTATTCTTACTTACAAACACCCAGCCTAACTAAGCTCGGCTTGTTTCTAGCCAGCTTTTCTTAACTTAAATTATCCTGACTACCTTTTGTCTCTGGGCTTTTTCTTTCCTTACCTGGGCATCGCCTACGTTTACTTACTCCATGACTGGCTGGGTGGCCAATGACGTCCTCCTCCCTTGTTCTCTCACTGCTCCTTCCCCTCTTCAGATTCCTCCTCCTACTTAGCCTCTCCATCTGCCAGCCCCACACATCCTTTCTCCCCCCTCACTACTGGTCATTCAACTCTTTATTAGGACCATCACGTGTTTTAGACAGGCAAAGAATCACAGTTTCACAGAGTTAAACAAATGCAGCATAAACAAAGTCACATACCTGAAAATAATATTCCCCAACATGTGAAATCCTTTTTTATAGAACTGAGAATTATGACCTCTTAAACAATAAACAAAATTTTTTAAAGTAACCCTAAAACTTGTTAAGTCTGGAGCATAGGCCCAGCCACTGGCATCCATCCCAGTCCCCCTGGCCTGGGAGTATATTGGGCTGGACTCCAAATCCCAGCATGCCCCAGGGAGGGGATAGGACCACTCCCACAGGGTATTTAAGTGTGCTCCTAGAGGAGAAACAGGTGGTTCTGGGTTTGCATGTGCTCCCCGCTTTCCTGTCTCCCCACCATGCAGTCAGCCATTTGAGAGCACAGTATTTTAATAAAACGATGGGCATTTTAATTTGGATTGATCTGACCTAATTGGATGTCTTTGCCTGGGCGGAGCCGCCCCCTCATTATTTTTTTTCTAACAAAACTGTTGCATACAAGTGACAAATCAAAAGGATTAAGAAAGATTGAAACTCAAAACTGAGATCCAGACAAAGGTAAACAAAGAGAAGTGGCAAGGTCACATGAATATTAAAACAAAAATCTATATTTCAAGTTTAAAGGTATTTGTGCAGTGATAAAAAGAGCAAATACGTAATGGTAAAAGACGAGTACAGACAAACGTAAGTAGAAACATGCAAGTGTTAATGGACCAGCATAGTTAAAAACTTGAACACACTTCTCTCAGACCTCAGAAAACCAAGAACACATAAATGGAAAAAAAAATAACAAACATAATCCAGTAGGAAAAAAAAATTACACAATGCTAAAATAAAGAATTCTATACCCATAGGAAACATTAAACAAAGACTGTATTGAGGCTACAGTTGTTTTCCCGGCACAATAAAAAAAATGGTAATTATTACAAATAACATTCCCTAAAACAATTAAACTACACTTAGCAGCATTACCTTTTTATAAACGCAAGAAAAAAATCTTACAATCATGTTTTCCCTACCCTTCCACTTCCTGTTCCCTCACATTTAAAGTTCTGATGTAGAGGATTTCGTTGCAGTTTTGGAGTTAAAGGACTTCAAATTCTGAGTCGGTTCTACCAGAGGATCTCTGTGTTTACTGCCTGCGACCAGAAAGCCCCCGCTGGAGGGTATGGACCTTTGACCTCGTAAAATCTGGGCAGTGAGTCAGAGCAAGTCCCAGGCATCTCTCGAATTCCCTTTAAAGGACTGTCCTGCTCTGGGTCAGCTGGTGGCTTACCTCACAGAGATTCAGGTGGAAGGGCACTTCCCTTGACGTCTTTGTCCTCGGGCTTGGCCTCCGGGCCCTGCGGCTTGTTCTGCAGGGTACACAGCAGCTGGAGGTAGGTCTGGTTCCTAAGAGACAGAGTTTGCGTGAAGTGACAGGAGTGTGGCGGGTGGAAGGGTGAGGGGGCCTGCTTGAGGCTTCAACCTGGGATCCCGACCTCACCTGCCCAGCTTGTCTTCTTCCTGTCCCTCTTGCTGCTTCAAGGTTTCAAGTTCCTGATTCGATTGGTCAAGCTTCTGCTGAGTTCCGGCCTGACGTTCCTTCGCCTCTGCAGTAATCTCTGCCAGCCTCTGGATACGCTTCTGAGGGGGGGTGAGAGTGCAAAGGTAACTCACAAGGCTACTTTCCTGAAGCCACATCCCAATGTCCCTTGCTTAGAAAGAGCTACAGAGCTCAGATTCCCTTCTCAGGGGGATGAGGGTATAGACGTGACTCATCACAGCTGCTGTCCTGGAGCCACACCCTCCATGTCCCCTGCTTAGACTGAGCTCAGGGCTCAGACTCGACAGAAAGGGGTCAGGGCTCAGACTCGCTGACAGAAAGGGGTCAGGGCTCAGACTCGTTGACAGAAAGGGTCCCTCACTGCTTTGAGGCAGAGAAGAGCCTATAGAAAGGAATCTACCTGGTGCTGCTGCCACTGCTTCTGAGCTGTTTCCAGTTTTTCCTCAAGCACTTGCTTCTGCGGGGAGAAAATGATGATTTCTTGTGTGTGAGTTTGGAGACAGTGCTAAGTCCAGCCCAGCTTACCCCTTCCTCCCTCCCCGCTTTCCTTCTCTCAAGTCTTCTAGGTGTACCTTAGCCTGGAGTTGCTTGTAGGCCTCCTGAAGCTCTGTGTACTTCCTTTGGGCCTCTTCTGCCTGGGGTAAGGCCTGGGTCAGGGCACATTTTATGGCTTCCACGTGATCTTGGTACACGGCCTTCAGCTCCTTCCATTGCTCTTTAGCTTCAGTAGCCTTCTGGCCTAAGATAAGCCACAAAGAACAAGCGTGTGAGGGAGGATGGCCTGCAGCTGGCCTTCTCTAACCCTAGGCCACAGTCCTCCCATGAGCTAGACACAGACATAACTCACATCTTCCCTCTTCAACCACTCAGATTAGACCCCACCACAAATCTGACCCTACTCACGACTTGTGTCCTCAGAAAGCAAATCGTCTGGGCTCTGGGCGGTATCTTCCTGAGCCAGAAAATTCTGTAGGAAGTTCACTACCTGAAGCTGGCTGCAAAGCAGCTTGTCTTTCTTCCGGGAGTTCTGTTCAGAGCGAGGAGAGAAGCGGGGACTAGCCTTACCTTTGGGCACTGTACGCCAAGACTGTCTTCCACTTTGTTCTTTGCCAGTGTTGCCCGCTATCTCAAGAGGCAATCCTAGGACCAGCCTCTACTGTCTGGAATACTGGGTCCCACCTTAATACATACCCTCACGAATTCCTCCATGATCCGGGCTGGCAGCTCTGTTTCTTCCTGCAAGCCTACAGGTTCTAGAATGCCTTCCACCTCAGCAAGGACCCTGTAGAAAACAAGTGAGGGCGTGCACAGTAGCTCTAAAGGACATGCGCACAGGCATATACATCAGGGACTTGCACCAGCCTTTCTTCTGAGTCCTTAAGCAGCTCCCATATCATGACACACCCCCTGAAGCCACACCCCCCCATGTCCCCTGCTTCCAAAGAGCTGCAGGGCTCAGATTTCCTTCTGAGGGGGGTGAGGGTGTAGATGTGACTCACCACAGCTGCTGTCCTGGAGCCACACCCCCTCCCACGTCCCCTGCTTAGACTGAGCTCAGGGCTCAGACTCGCCACAGAAAGGGGTCAGGGTTCAGACTCGCTGAAAGAAGGGGTCTCTTATAACTTTGAGGCAGAGAACAGCCTAGAAATTCCACTGTTGCTGGGCGGTGGTGGCGTGCGCCTTTAATCCCAGCACTCGGGAGGCAGAGGCAGGCGAATCTCTGTGAGTTCGAGGCCAGCCTGGTCTACAGAGCAATTTCCAGGACAGTCAGGGCTACAGATAAACAACACCCCGTAGGGGTCGAACTCCTGGGACAGGGTGACACCATCGCTCGGAGGCCGCACTTCTGGATTAGAGTGACACCACCCCTCCTACACCGCTGGCCTAGTTGCCGGGCCCCCGCACTCACTCTTCGGTCGCCCCTGTCAGCCCAGTCTCCCGCCCCCCGCACTCACTCTTCGGTCGCCCCCGCCAGCCCAGTTGCCCGCCCTCCCGCACTCACTATTCGGTCGCCCCCGACGGCCCCAGCCGCTGGCCTAGTCGCCCGCCCCCCCCTCACTCACTCTTCGGTGGACCCTGTCAGCCCAGTCTCCCGCGCCCCACCCCCCCGCTGTCACTCTTCGATCGTCCCCGCCGGCCCCAGCCGCCCACCCCCGGCACTCACTCTTCGGTCGCCG